AGAAAGAAGTCATTAAATTCATGTTGAAGTTCGCCATTGATGAACACAGAAAATATCTGAATACTTGAAACCTTGATGATTTTCAGAATTTATCAAACGAATTGATCACAAATCACTAATCGATTACTCGACTTAACAATTCAAATGCAGAATCAATTCAAATCTGAAGATCAAAAGTGATTTTCAAAAACCACAAATGTGCGGAAAATTTTGAGTAAATTTGTAACTCAAAAAACAAATGATTCTTATACGAAAATCAGATCTAAGCAGTTTGAATCCTGCTCTGATACCAATTGATGAGAATTGTTATCGAGAATTTAGAAAAGAAAAGATAGATTTGAACGATTTAAGATGAAAAACACAGAGAGTAAAATGTACATCAACATCCCCCCCCCCCCTTAAAAACTTGAGAAAACATTAAAATGTAGGGGTATGAACTCACCTTAAGTGATTTCAGTAGATGATTGTTGAAGAATGGAAGTGTTTAACTCAAGAACACTTGGAGATGACTTGAAGATTTTCGAGAATCTAACATCATAGTTATGTAGTTTGTGTAAGCAATCAATGATTTGAGTAGAATGAAGTGCAATAATCATAAGTAGGATGAATTATACTTACTAAGAGTGGAAGAACACTTGAAAATCAGCCTTGAATCTCGAATTTGGTGGAGAAAAAGTTTGAGAGAAAAGTGGTGTTTGATACTTAGTGAAATGAGAGCAAATGAGAGAAATGAGGAGAGAGGGTGTTTTGTTCCAGCTCTAAAAACGTGGGAATGAGTAGAAATTGAGTGTAAGGGACATTGAAGTGACCTAGGTAAGGTGGGGAGGTGTGGCTAGTCATAGAGTGGATGTGGGGTGGTTGCTTGTGATATAAGTTAAGGCAAGGTCAACACTCCACCTTAAATAAATCCCCCATTAGATTTTTATCATTTAGATAATGGTTTTTATAAAAATATGATTAAATTATGAATATTTTGGGTTTATTATGTTAAAATATAATTTCTGGAGAAAATCCCGCTTTAAAATCACGAAAAACGGGCTTAAAATGTTAAAAATATCAAAAAGGGGCTAAAAGTGACAAAATTCCGAAATCTGGCCGAGTTTCGGTCTTCTGATGCTGAAACCGAGAGGAGAGAGGGCAGAAACCGAGAGGAGAGAATAGAGAGAGCAGAGATCGAGAGAAGAGAAGAGAGAGTAGAGACCGAGAGAAGAGAAGAGAGAGCAGAGAGGCGAGAGGCGTGAAGAGACAGAAAGGTGCGAAGAGACAGAGACCGAGAGGGGAAGAGAGACAGAGACCGAGACTCGGTCTTCGCTACAGTGATTCGGTTCTCCGGGTTCGGCCAAGAAGAGACTCGGTTCGGTCCAGGGTCTCGGCCTTAAGGAGCTTCGGCTCCTTGAGAAGGGTTTCGGTTCCAAAGGTCCATTTTTCTCGTTTTTACCCCGTTTTAAGCCGTTTTTGACCCCGTTAAGGGTCGGAATGACCCGAATGATTCTAAAAAGTTACGGGAAACTTTTGAGAGACATTTGGGAGAGATTTCTCATACTTGGAGAGATTTGGGAGAGATTTGACATTCTTGGAGAGATTTCTCATACAAAGAGATGTTTGAGAGAGATTTGGGAGAGATTTCACACACTTGGAGAGATTTGGGAGAGATTTGACATTCTTTGAGAGATTTATCATACAGAGAGATATTTGAGAGAGGTTTCACATACTTGGAGATATTTGGGAGAGATTTGACATTCTTAGAGAGATTTCTCATATAGAGAGATATTTGACAAAGATTTCACATACTTGGAGAGATTTGGGAGAGATTTGACATAGAGAGATAGAGAGATAGAGTGAAAACGATTGAGAGAGGTTTCATGTGTGGCATTTGTGAGTGTCCGACTTCGCAATGCAAGGTTCGTAAACCCTGTTAAGCCTTGTTTAAGGGTCTTACATACCCCCGATGAGTATGCAACATTGTTTTATTGGTTTCGCTCGCCACATACCACAGTTTTAGGTTAAGGATATCTAGATGTTCGCACTTTTTGATTTATGATCTCTCATTAGAATAGTGAGTTGTTTAGTATTTAGTTAAAATAAACTATAGTACACACATGCAAAATGAGTCGAACGGTTTGACTTTTTTACTTCGATTGACTTTGACTTGCCCGGAAATTGATGGTTGTCACACAGGGCTTCGATGAAGACTAAAACTAAGGGAAAACATGATAAAAATGAAAGCAACTCGAGAGGGAAGATATTGGTAGGTGTGGGAAGGTAATAAGGCTTAGCCTCCTATTTATAGTCGTTTTTGGGGTGCACGTCATGCATTTTAAGGCTATGTCTCCCCAGCCACTTTATGTCACATATCGGCCTTACCTTGGTTTGTGTTTTCACCTTCACTTTACGCGCACTGCACGAAGCGCAAATCATAAATTTTGTAAACTCCATAACTTCTTTGTACAGACTTTGTTTTTGACATTCTTTTTTCCATGTGTAGCCCTCAATGAGTATTGCAACTTTACTTGAGGCTCCATTGGCTAATTTTGACTTTATTTTTATCAATTATTTTTATATGATTTAATGATTTTTCAAAAATCATGACTCTCTCGTACGAACTCCGATTTTGGTATTCCTTTTATCAAAATTCTTCTCTTAAAGAGTACTTCGATTTTCATTTTGGTGAATATACCTAAAAATCAACCATTCTCTTCGTACCTTTTGCTGTTAATATTTTTTTATTATGCGGTTGATTTTTATATCGAATAAAATTCATATCTCCTTCATATAAACTCAGATTTCTACGAACTTTATATTTTCGGGATCATATCGACTTATACTTTCAATATATATATATATATATATATATATATATATATATATATATATATATATATATATATATATATATATATATATATATCTGTGTGTGTGTGTGTTTCGACGTACTTATTTTTATGATTTACGAACGATTCAGTTGATATTTCATATTTTTGCTTAATACGAAACTTGTATTATATCTTAAATATGCAGGTGGATTCTGTGAGCGTTAGTAATATCCGCAGAACAATATATGAATGGAAGCTTGACTCATCATGAAACAAACGATGTCTAGCAAGGTTCGATTATGCCTCTCAACCACACCATTAAGTTGTGGTATCCTAGGAGGTGTCAGTTGTGAAACAATTCCACATTTATTTAGATAGTCCTTAAATTCGACAATAAGATATTCTGCACCTCTATCATATCATAACATCCTTTATCGTCTTGCTCAATTGAATCTCTACTTCACTCTTTCAACTTTTCAAAGATTTTTTATTTATGCTTGATTAAGTAGATATACCCATATCTATTATAATTATTAGTAAACATCATGTAGTAACGGTTAGCATCCCTTGTGATGGATCTAAAAGGACCACATACATCACTATGGATGAGGTCTAACAAATCTTCACCTCTTTCACAAGTTCATATTAAAGGTGACTTAGTCATTTTTCCCAACAAACAAGACTCGCATGCATCATCTGATTTTAGGTCAAAGGATTCCAACACTCCATACTTTTGGAGTTGGACGATATGTTTCTTGTTAATGTGCCCAAGACGACAATTCATAAGCAAGCCTTGTCTAGACTATTATAAGAATCAATATTATAAGCATTATTGCCAAGTTCATTCACACACACACACACTAGTTTCATACACACCATCATAAGGAAAAGCTTTGAAAATAAATGCACCATTACGATAAACATTAATTGTACCATCATCATTATCAAAACTATAATGACATCCTTTTCTAAATAAATCATGAAATGAAATTATATTCCTTGTCATTTATGACGAATAGCAACAATTTTTTTTAATCAACACTAACACTATCAAACGCAAGCTTATATGTCTCAATCCTACTAACATCCGACTTTCGCCTATTCCCCATGATCTGGTTTAGCTTCCTATCCTCGACCTCTTCACTGTCCTTTAGTCTCTCCATATCAGAACAAATGTGGAAACCACATCCCGTATCAAGGACCCAAGAATTTGAAATACAAATTTCCTTGATTTGGAAAAATTACATACCAGATGAAGAGCTAGTCACCTTACCCTTAGTCTCTCTTACTTATTATCGGTACTTACGGTAGCTTCTTCTCTAATGGCCTTTCTAGTCATAGTGAAAATACATGGCTTCTTTCAGATCAGCAACGGGAGGAGCATCAGAGTTAGGCTTTCCCTTTGACCCACTAGACTCTCTAATGTTGGATTTCCCTTTCTGCTTGGGTTGGGAATGGGCCTTTCTGTTCTTTGATTTTCCTTGTTGAATAGTCATGACTGGCACTACTAGAAAAACAGCCTTTTACGACGCGCAATTTATGATACGCATTTATTTATGATACGCAAACGTGGGTAACCTAAAAATAATGTCAGCTCTTTAAAAATTTTAAGGATTTCCGACGCACATTTTTGCGTACCCTAAAATTAGTGTCAGAAAAAAAACACGGAGGGCGCATATTATAAAATGTGCGTCATCTAGACATGTTGTTTTATATTTTTTAATGAAACGCGGGTTGTTTAGTTTCAAGCGGGAAAAGAAAACCCAAAAATTAGAAAAGCCCACTTTCCCTTCCCTCTTTCCCTCTTGGCCCTAAGCATTTTTTGACGCACTGTTCTTTATCCCCACAATCGACGATACATCTTTCCCCTCCCTACATCGACCGCCAACTACTCCCCTCGTACTCCGGCCACCGCTATGTGCTCTTTCATGGTCGTCGACCCTCCACCATCGCCGACCCTCTGCCATCGTCAACGTTGAGATGAGTAGTGGTAGAGAAGATGTCGGAGAGTCCTTTGGTGCCAGGGTTCTCACTGGCGGCTCATCCGGAGATAATGAGAGCAGCGCAGCAAACCAAATTTCAGGGGGAAATTTGTCGATCCGTTTTTAGGGTTTATTCCCACTCATCATTCCATCGCATCCTCTTTCAATTTCTTAGTGTAATCTCTCTCACAACTCAATAATAACGATGGATGAACTGAAACGCCGACTTCTTCATCGTGGAAGTACCCTGTCTTCATTCCGCTATTGTACGTCGGTAACCCGTCGCCTTCCAAGCAAGATTTTGCATTCTCCATTCAAAGTTGGTGCTAGGGTGAGCTCGATGGAGCTGCTTCTTCGTAATCCCACTGACACCCTCTTCATCTGTTAATGTTCCTTCTCCGCCAACCTTATCTAATTCTCCGTAATCCCTCCAACACTCCTCGACATCTACGATGGTTAGTACTTCTCGACTCGGTCCTGGTCTTATTCTTTGCTAGTATGCTTCTTTTCTTCCCCTGTTTACTGTAAGATATATTTGATTTGTGGTCAATGTTCTTATTGGTCAAAATTGTTTGTCTCAAAGAATTGATCAAAGTTTTGAAAAAGAAAATGATTCCAGTCAGCAAAAGAGATGATATAAAAGTTAAATTTCTTTTCTTTTTAGTGTTTTCTTCCATGAGATTCTCTAAACTATAAAGATTCTTTTCATCCTGTTCACAACAATAGCTTCCATCTCTGCTGGAAATGATGAATTTATTGGAAACTTAATTGCTGAAGCCATTGATAAAATCGGTCATGATGGAATAATTTTTATTGAATCTTCTTCATCAAGTGAAACTTCTGTGATTGTTGAAGAAGGAATGAAGGTATCAAGTGAAATACATCTTGTGATATTTTATTCAAACATTCTTTTTATCTTTTTCATTTTCATATTTTAATGTCTATTCAGGAATACTTTCCCTACAGATCGACAAAGGATACATGTCTCCTCATTTTGTCACAAATCAGAACAATTTGTCTTTGGAATTTGAAAATGCTAAAGTCCTAATAACATATCAAAAGATATCATTTGTGAAAGAAATTGTCCCATTCTAGAAAACTGTACTCAATTAAGTGTCCCTTTGCTCATTTTTGTTGAAGATATCTCAATCTCAGTTCTTGAAACCCTAATTGTTAACAAAAATCAAGGTTTACTTAGGGTTGCTATTGTGAAATGTCCTGGTGTTGGGAACAAAAGAAAGCTTTACTTCAAGATATTTCCCTCATGATAGGTAATTCTGTAACAATTTAAATATTTAATATATTACATTTTGAAGACTTGTTTTATGCCACTTTTCTGCTGACATTTATCATGTTAAAATAGGAGCTGATTTTTTATCTGGAGATTTGGGTTTATCTCTAGAATATGCAACCTCTGATCAACTTGGAATTGCACAAAAGTAACTATAACAAGTAATTACACAACTATTGTAGCTGATCCATCCACAAAAGCTGAAATCAAAGCAAGAATTTCACAAATAAAGAAAGATCTTTTTGAAACAGATAGTTCTTATCCTTCTAAAAAGCTCGATGAACGAATTGCAAAACTCTTTGGTAGTGTTGCCATTATCAAGGTCAGTTTATTTATTAATTATGACTAAAATAATGTATATAGAATGAATTGAAAGAATTTTGGTTATAGGTAAGGGCCCACACTGAGATGGAATTAGAAGATCGAAAGCTAAGAATTGAGGATGCAAACAATGCCACATATGTAGCCATGGATGAGGGTATTGTGCCTGGTGGTGGGACCACTTATATTCATATTCTTGAGGAAATTCCCTCCATTAAAAAGTTAATGGAAGATCCAGATGAAGAAAGTGGTGTCAACATCATAGCATCTGTATGTTTCTGTTTACTATGTTCTTTCTGCATTAACTCAAAAAGTCAAAAAGAAAACTGATATAGCTTACTAGATTAAGTTACTTACTAATCATGTATTACAGGGACCAAATTTAGACATATGTCTAACTGTTCACTCTCCCCTTTTAAATAACTATAGGAAATTAGACTAATTTAAATATTTTAAAATCATCACAGGCTTATATTTGGTTTCTGACAAGCAAATTCGTTTAAAGATTTTCTCTCCTAATGTTCTTGACATAACTCTAGCATCAGAACAATGATAATGTCATACATTAAGGCTACCAACTGTTTAATTCTTGCTGTGACACCAACAAATTCAGACCTTGCCAACTCAAATGCCCTGCAGATTGCTGGAAATTCTGATCCAGGTGGTATTTGACTCCATGCACGAGAGGTTGCGTACACATGCTGAATCTGTTGCTTCCTTTGGAGGTGGTGCTCGAGAGAAAGCCGTAACTCCTCTCCTCCTTCTTTTTTATATTTCCTTCCACAAAGGAGAATTTTGGAATATAATATTAATAATAATAATACTTGAATATGGTTTGTTTGACAGATGATTGAGTCAAGATTTAATGAGCTTCTTGCTCATGCTAAAATACTTCTGAGGAAGAAATGGTTATTTGGAGTACTGGATGACTTTGTCACCAAACAACTACCCCACAATGTTACCTCAGGATTGCGCTTGTTATATGCTATAGAGCACAAAGCTGATCGTTCATTGACTTCCACTCAAGGTCAATTCCCATTCTCAATTCCGATTCATCATGACATTTGTTTACCACAATTGGAAATAGTTTGTGAATCGATTACCTGAACCTAATGAAATGTAGGCTTTTATTTTTTTGTTTGGATGTGAGTGGGTTTTTTTGTTAGCAGGTGAGCTTGCACATGCATTGCGGTTTTTGGCATCAGTTGTATCTCAAAGCTTCTTGGTCTTTGGTGACATCTTAGAGCTGCATAGAAAGTTCATTGAACTGTCTGGTGGTGTTAATTGGATTTTTGAACTTGAGGAACTTCTTGATGCTGCACAATCTGGTTAGTGTTTTATCTAATCTTTTAGGTTGTTCCTTATTTACTAATAATCTAAATGGAAATTGCAGATGAAAATGTTGGTGCTTCATCAAAGTCCAATGAGGAACTTGAGGATGTTATCTCTCTTTTGGAGGTTGATATTATCACGCCAACACAGAATTTATTAGCCAGAAAGGTGACTTGCGAGATAGTACCAGGGAAAAGCCTTCTTCTTACCGGTTAGAGTTATAGTCAGAGATTATGATTATAAATACTTGTGAGGATTTAAAAAAATAAAAAATATAAAATGAAGATATAGTTACTGCTACTACGAGTAAATAAGAAATTATTTGGTACAAGAGAATGTAAGTTTCTATGCCATATCAATGTTAAGTTGAAATTAGAAAGTATTGTGTTCATTTCTTAGAACAATTATATAATTGCTCATATATTACTTTATCAGAAAGGATGTTTATGATCTTCATCAAGTTGTGCTAGGTAAATGCTATATTTAACATTAAGATATATTAGAAAATGAGAAATGAGTTAATTTATTTATTTTGATTTGTTGTTCATCAAGCTGGTTGGTATGCATCCTATTCTATGTCCAACACAACAAGGATGATGATGGTGCATTTATATCTTCTTAACCTGTTACCTAATAATTTTTCTCATCTTATTACATCATGTTCTTCATTTTTAACTCCTTAATTTATCAATCTAATCATTATTAACTTCATTCTTGTAAAACCAGATGTCTATGCTATATAATGATTAATTTTCCACTTTTCATGGTGGAAGTGGACAAAGGGTTTCTCTTTCACAGTTTGTAACATATTGTATTCAAGAAATCTTGCTCTGACCGATTAAATTATTGCTAAACATATTAATTAACTACTGTACGCATATCAAATAATTCTTGAATTGTTGGTTTTTGATTATATGCAGTCAGGTTCTTTTATCTTTTATCCCCCGCTTTAGTAGCCATCTTTGGAAAGCCCTTGTTCTCAAAACAAAACAGGTGATTCTTACAATTGTCAAACTGAATTTTATCTATGGTTCTGGTTGCATAATTATTGTATTCATCATTTTAACTGAGATCTTATTTTACTTTGTCAGGATATGGACATCCAAGATAGAGAACTAGTAAATGACTGGCTCATGATCATAGTTTACAAAGAACGTGGTTTTGGCTGAAAAACATATTACCATGTGGTATGCATCTTCCTTGAAACTTCATGATCTTAGGCCTCTGTGTTTGTTTATTTAAGGTGTTAGCATAAATGGGAAAGCATACTTTTGAATGTCACATTGTTGCCTTCACTTATAATTTGCATAATGTCGATTGTGCTTTAGAATATTATTAATTTATTTTTATTTCTCCTTAGTAATTGTGGGCATAGCACCACCTGTTTTTGTGTTTCTTTTATTGTGAGGGCAATCCTTAACTGTACCAGTGGTTCCGATTATTTTGGTCTCTTAATGGGGTATTTAACCCTTGGCTGGGAATTAAATAGTTAAGCAGATTTTTGTGATGCTTATCTGAACTTGAAGAGTTTTTTCACCTCTTGAACGTGAGAATAGAGTTTCTACCTGATCCTTTATAGGGGATACTTTTGACTGGTGCAGGGAAACTCTAATGTTACTATGGATTGTCTTAATTGCCTTAGTTTCGACTGATGCAGAGTGTTTGACCAACACTGATGCTAATGCCTAATGCTATACTGCTTTGTCTTTCTTTGTTGGTAAGACATTTGTATGCTAAACCAGATGCTAATGCCTAATGCCTAATGCTATCACTTGTGGTTTAATTCAGATTCTGGGACAAAAAGAGTCATAGCTGGGCTGTTAATGTTCCTGTTTGTTTTCATTTATGCAGGTAACAATCTTGTAGAAAGGACTTATGAATCAGATGTTAATGGTAACAAGTTTAACACTCGAGTCCATACGATTAGATGTTAATGGTAACAAGTTTAACACATGTGTCTTTGTTATACATACAGATTAAATGTAATGGATTGTATTTTTGTATATGGTATTTTATTTAATATTATGCAATGGATTCTATTTTTTGTATATGGTATTTTATTTCTATTATGAGAGATTAAATGCAAATTTAATTTATAAATTAATAAATATATAAATATATTATTTTTTTTTAAAAATAAAATTACGATACGCCAAAATGCGTGTCGTCTTCATTTATGACATGGCCTTTCTTGACGGAGGCTTCCTTGATACGCATTGCGTGTTATAAACACGTGCGTCGTAAAGTTACGACACGCAAATGCATGTCGTCTTCCTTTATGACAGGGCCTTCCTTGATACGCATTGCGTGTCATAACCGTGCGTCGTAAATGCGCGTCGTCTATAGACGACGCGCAAAATCGCGTCGCTCTCTTTATGACAGGGCCTTCCTTGACGCGCATTTGCGCGTCGTCTGAGCGTTTTACGACGCGCAATGAGCGTCATAAAAGGCCTTTTTCTAGTAGTGTGGGTAAGTGCAATACTATTGGAATAAGACTTCTTCATTCCTACTTCATTTGTTTACAATAGATTGTGAAGCTATATCAATATGGTCTCAGTATTATTCAAATGATAAGTCTGAATGAACTGATCATAACTAATAGGCAAAGAGATGAGCAACATGTCAATGGCCAACTCCTTGTAAATTTTCACATTGAGCTTTTCTAATCTCTCCATATGTCTCTGCATTTTCTGCACATAGCCATACATAAATTCCACAACTTTCAATTTACATACCATAAGGGACTTAACAACTTCATAATGCTCTTATATAGCTTTCTTGAGAAACATTTGACAAATAGCTTGGTTCATTTCATAGGTATAATAGTCCTCATAGGTTTTTTGGAGCTCCGGTTTCATGGTTTCAATCATAATGCAAACAACCTTTATAGTGTCGTCAATGTGTTGGTTATAATCAACGAATTCTTGAGGAGCAGTTGATTCCTTGTCAATTCCAAGAAATGGAGTATCGAGTGTTCTCATATCTCAACGTCAACTTCAAATTGAACAACCAGTCCATGTAGTTTGGACCAGTGAGCTTTTCCTTTGAGAGGATACATAAAATAGTGAAGTTGTGAGTAGTTGGATGAGAAGGGAGTTCACCATTTCTAGAAATCTAAAACAAGAGAAAAGATTTTAGTTAGTTGATTCAATTCCTTAATATTTTAACCCAAGCTAATATTCAAGGTTAGGACCCATAAATACAGTTTGAAATTATAAAGAGGTATGCCATAATCTAATTGTGAACTTATTTTAGGTAGGTAAAGCATTTTACCAATTTTAATCTAATACGAAATTCCAATATCTTTTGAGTATTATTGAAATATTCAATGGCATGTTTAAACTCAGATTATGCTCTTCAATTTATGACTGGGATGTTGAGGATCACAAACAAGATGTGAATAACCACACAAACCATGCTTGAGGTCATTTATGATCACATATTAATGTGTTAGTTAACCACACACGCTCCATCAACAACCATAAATTTGAGTATGTGCCATCATTTCATCTATGTAGTCCTACATTAGTGTGTGTGGTTAACCATGCACGCTCTACTTGTTGGGTTTTTACTCAAAAATAGCCCAACTATAGTCTCAAAATTAGATGTAAATAAGCAACGGGAGCATTTTGTTTAAATAAACTAAAACCATTATATACCCACTAAAACCATTATATACCCACCAAGGATCATTTTTCAAGAACTTATAAATATTAAACATAACCAAAGAAGAAGAAAATGAAACGACCTTTGAAGACTTTGGTTCCTTTTGGCAATTAGGAAGTTGATGAATATGGTTTTAAGCTCTAAATTGAGATCTCTATAATGTATCCACCAAGAAAGACAAAACCACCATCAGATGCAAGTCTTTCACTTGTAAAATATTGGTCTTAAGCTTTAAGACATATCCCAAAATATGCTTAAAGAGAAGCAACACCTTAAGCCTTTAATTTTCCACATCTTTTGCATGAACAAAGGAGAAGCAAAGGGAGAGTGCTATCCAAGAAATTTTCCATCCAAAATGAAGGATAAAAGTGATTAGAAAAGCTACCCCTTTCATTGCCTTATATCATTCTTTATACATACAAGTATGACACAGTTTAGTCCATAAAGTGAAAGTCAAAACCACTTCTTACAAGCATGGGATTAAAGATTAAATAATGCAAAAGCAAGCACATGCTTGTCCTCTAATTTTTGTGTCCATTTGTGAAGTAATAAGACAAAAACCAAATGTTATTTACTTTTCCATAACTAGCTAGTTGATGTGAAACTAAAATGGTTACCTAAAGTGCCCAAAAGTTTAAACATAACTTGAATAATCATACCATATGATATATTGCTAGTATTGTTCTCTTTATTACTATTTCTTAGAAATAATAATTCTCAATATGTTGTTAAAATAATATTTAAAAAATAATGTTTTCCAATTAAATGCAGGTGTTGATATTTATTAATAATCAAATTTTACTAATAAATAATCAATTAGTGGTAACTTGCTATAAGATGTGATCCTATAGGATCATATGTTATTAGCAATACCGTTATATAATGATTGTTTGACATACAAGATTTTTCATTTCTAGCGACTCACAAAGAAATGATGTGTGTTTTCATGGATTAGTAGAGAATTTCACCTTTTTTCTAAAGTAAATAGAGTAAGATTTTATAGAAGGTTCTAGTACTTTATATAATTATACTTTTAATGTGATTATATCCTATCAAATCCATTCAGCTAGTGACCTTCCACCATACAAAGAGGCGGTAGGTGAAAAGGATACCCATTCAACGGTCATTTTATAGTTTGTTTCCTTAAACCTCTCTTATAGTATGGCTTCTTGAATGAGGCGTATTAGAGATTTAACCGACTTTTAATTTTACATATAGTATGATACACTTATACATGTGTATAGGGTGAATTTGAAGACCTTTTCAAAACAAAAGGGTTAAATTTAATTATTTGAATTAAACAATTAATTAATTAATCTTTTAAACCAATTATGGATTTAATATTTATCTTTTAATTAAATCATTAATCAAATATTATACTCTAATCCATAAGGAATATTCCATTTAATTATCTTATAATTAAATATTTGTTTCATTATCTACTTCCTCAAAATTTAAATTAGTGTTTCAAAAATATCTAGTATTATTTGGTTCGGATTTTATCAGATAAAATTATAGATAAGGCCTAATAATTAACCTACTAATCGAATTAGGAAAGGCACGCCTCGCCTAGGTGCATCACACCTTGTTTTTTTTTTCCGTTTTTCTAGTTTCATATGTTATGCATTATCAATTGAAAATGCATAGCTATAATACCACTATTGAGGTTTCTAGGTTGTAATTACATTGTACATGTGAAAATTCACTTAACACTTAAGGGTACATGCAACCTAAATTGGATCTATGTCTTTTCACTATTAATAGCAACAGACTTTTGAAACAAAAACTAAGAACCCTATCATAATAGAAATATGAGTAAAACCATATACCTTTTGCTTGATTTGAAATAAGCTAATAAAAACCCTTGTAGCCTCCTTGGAAAACTAGCTCCAAAATTATGGTAGCCTCTAATGTGTTACACCTAAAACTCAAGAAACCCTAGGATTGAAGGAGAGAGTGGAGTGGATAGATATTTTTTGAATTCTCATGTGTTTATGGTTTTGGTCGAAAATAAAAGGGGTTATCCCCTTTATTTAGCTTTCGGATAATCCCAGAAATCCTAAATTGGAACTTACAATAACAATATTTCAAATAAGTAATTATCTAGTTTCCTTTTATCAGTTGGAGGCTTCCAAAAACTCTATCCAATAGCCTAAAACCGTCCACACCTAAGGGAGGTTCTAAATCCTCTCTTTTGTTCAACTATTGAATAGTTTCAGCTCATCCCTTGTACCTTTAATTAATTATAGTTAACCCATAATTAATTACAAATTAATTATGATTAATTCGTAATTAACTATTAGTATTTCTAATTAATATATCAATCATATAATATATTAATAAATCATTTATGTCTCTCCTATGATCAATTCAAGCGATTTCCTGGTTATGAGGGCAGCCCAAAAAGGACTTTACTTTTATTTGTCAACATTATACCAATTTATTCAGGACCTAAGTCACCTTAATCCAAAAAATACTTCGTTTATGTTTCTGGAAATTTAAA